ATCTATCTATCTATCTATCTATCTATCTATCTATCTATCTATCTATCTATCTATCTATCTATCTATCTATCTATCTATCTATCTATCTATCTATCTATCTATCTATCTCTGGCCACATGAAGATAGCAAAAGGAGGTCTACAGGTTTCGGTACCCTGCTGGAAAATCCAAATGGCATTTCGTAGAGCGAGTCATGGGGCCCTCACTCTGTGTTCTCTCCAGGAAATGAGTTAGACAGGTGCAAGTGTTAATCTGATCTCTTGCGCAGCTCCATTGTCTTCTGATGGAACAGTTTTTAGGCTCTTGGTTATGGGTGGCTCCATCTGATTTGAGGAAAGGAGGAAAATGGATAAAGAAAAGCCTTGAATTTGAATGCAGGGGCCTCCACAGAGTGGGTTACAAAATTAATGAGATGTTAGACACAAATATTATGGCTGAACTCTTCCTTGTACCTTTTGTTGTCATGTACAAAAAGGATGGGCCTTTGGGACAGCTCAAAAAGGAAAAACTTTGCTTGCAATGATATCATTGGACTTCTGGCACTCTAAGCAAATAGACCGTGGCTTAGGGAACCATGGAAATAAACCTTGGAGAAGGCATCCAGAAGCTGTTAAGATGCATTAAGTCTTGGACAGGTGACGGAAGGGTGGGCAGAGAGAATATGGATGAGCCAGCAGTGTGCAGCAGCAACCAAAAAAGCTAATACAATTCTGGGTTGTATAAACAGAGGCATAGAATCAAGATCACACAAAGTATTGGTACCGCTTTAAAAAGCCTTATTAAGACCACACCTGGAATACTGCAGCCAAATTTGGTCACCATATCACAAAAAGATATTGAGAGTTTGGAAAAAATTCAGAGAAGAGCAACTAAGATGATCAAAGGCCTGGAGACTAAAACATACGAAGAACGGCTGTGGGACTTGGGTTTGGCTAGTCATAGAAAAGAAGAAATAGGGGAGACACAATAACAGTGTTCCAGTATCTGAGGGGCTGCCACAAGGCAGAAGGGGCTAGGTTGTTCACCAGAGCACTAGATGGAAGGACGAGAAACAATGGTTGGAAACTGATAAAAGAGAGAAGCAATCTGGAATTAAGGAGAAACTTCCTGACAGTGAGGACAATCAACTAGTGGAACAGCTTACCCCCAGAAATCATGGGCGCTCCATCACTGGAGATTTTTAAGAGGAGACTAGACATTCACCTGTCTGAGATGGTATAGATTCTCCTGCTTGAGCAGGGGGCTGGACTAGAAGACCTCCAGGGTCCCTTCCAGTTTCTATTCTATTCCATTCCATTCCATTCTCTATTCTATTCTATTCTTCAATTTCTTGTGATTCAAGAGGAAAGGAAGGAAAAATCCAGATTACAACATGCAGACTACAAAATTCTCTTAGCACATTGTCTAAATACAAGTAGTCCTCAACTTACAACAGTTCGTTTAATGACCATTCAAAGTCACAACTGCACTGAAGACTTAAGACTGGAGTGACTCTCGACCATTTTTCGCACTTATGACCATTGCACCATCCCTATGGTCACATAATCAAAATCCGGATGCTTGGTAACTAACTCACATTCATGACGCTTGCAGTGTCCCTGGGACATGTGATCTCGTTTTGCAACCATCTGACAAGCAAAGTCAATGGAGGAAGCCAGATTCACTTAACAACCGTGTTATTTTAACAAGTGTGGTGGTTCACTTAACAACGGTGGCAAGAAAAGTCGTAAAATGGGGCAAAACTCACTTAACAAATTTCTTACTTAGCAAAATAAATTTTGGGCTCAGTTGTGATTGTAAATCGAGGATTACCTGCAGTTCTAGTCTTCCCATGGAGGCGGTTTCCTGAAATGGTCTATCTTATAAGGGGTTAACAATTATGCATCTTTATATGTAAGCTCAATAATTAACATGTATGAAAGGCTATTTTTTGGCCAGGCATTTACCAAAAAAGCTAATTAATAAATTTCTTTTATAGGCCGCAGCTTAAATATTAACTGGATTTGTAGATAGCAGTAATATTCCTCATCTCCATACTCTGAAAAAATCTACCTGCTGTTTTTGTACATCAAGAATCATCTGCTGGTTTCTGTTGGCCTCTTCTGCCAAAGGTGGTAGGAACAATCGACCATATTATTTTTTTTTTCAGATCACTTGGCAACCCAACATGTAACATAGTAAAGACACATTTTAGTAAAGCAGCCCTGTTCAATAAAATATTTGGGAAATGTCATCTGCTCCACCCTTACTCCAATTAAGAACATC